GTGGAATCTCGCGTCTGTCGGACAGCCTGTCGGAAGCGCACAGCCCGCCATTAATGGCCACGAACCTGTCCGTGACGGGCCCTCTAAGGGTTGCGGTGCCCAGCCCTCACACGCCCTCCTCGCGAGGCAGCCCACCGCAAACGGCCAACAGTCAACAGACACCTCAGGGTCAGTCTCAAGGCCAGGGATTGATAAGGGTCGCAACGCCTCCCCCGCCGAACCCGAAACCGCCCCAGATCCACAGACCGTTCTCGCCCGCGTGATACGACACTAAGGACGACGAGCCGGAACACGCGATTTCGAGGGAAACGGGGGAGGACGATCATCGACGGGCCGTCGGTGTGTCGGGGAAACCGGTGACGATGGCCACCAGTGACGAGCATCAGTTTTTCGAGAAACGGTTCGAGGTTTTGTGAAAAAAGAAAAAAGAGAGGAAAAAAAGGAGAAACGAGAAGATTCGAATTCGAGTCGTCGAATATCAAAGATTCGTCGAAGATTCTCGAAGAAGGAACTTTGGATGAAATTCGGCGGGGAGAAGAATTTCTTGGATGATAGTAATAAAATAATAAAAGAAATTGAAATTTTTCTTTCCCTCGAGAGGGAAGAAAGAAAGATTAACAATCAATTGTTCGCGTTGTTCAAGTGATAGAGAGAGGGAAAAAAAAGAAAAAATGGACAGGAAAGGATTCGATAATTAATATCGTTACGCGATACAAACAATGACTAGAATTTTTCTAGCCGATTGTGCGTAGATGGATCGCGGGAGCGGACGTGTGCAATTAGATGAATATGATGCGAGAGAGTGAGTGATCGTCACGTGTAAATAGCCTTAAATCATCGAGGAAACGACGGCCACGCGAGGATGGGTACATTTTTCGTTGAACGAAAAACCCGAACACGAGATCGATCCGCTTCGAGGCTAACGAACTCAGTGGTAGTGGTGTTTTCTTTTCGGTTTTTTCTCTTTCTCTCTTTCTCTCTCTCTTTCTCTCTCTCTCTCTCTTTCTCTCTCTTCTTTTTCTGTAGTCTGTACATAGCGATGCTTTCGATAAAAAAAAAAAAAAAAAGATGTTGTTCGGTGTAATCGTTGCCTGAAACTGTTGTTCGTCGTCATTTCAAACGTACGTGCTTACATGATCTATCGTCGGTGATAGAACGTGATCTGTTTAAAATCTATCGATTCGGATGAAAATGAAAAAAATGGTAAAAAATGATTCGAGGACGTACAAGTTCGAAACGTAAGCCTTGAACGTAGATCGAGGTCGAGTTTCGAAAAAGAAAAAAAAAAAGAAAAAAAAAAAATTATAACGTTGTTCAGCCGATAAAATATCGTATCGTAATAAGTGAGCCTTCTAATCTCGTTAGAACGTCGAGAGATATCAACGGATACACCGAGAGATGCGCGGATACTCGTCGAACAAATCGGGCTGACAACCACTTTGTAACTCGATCCAACGAACGAAACGAACCGATCTGTTGTAATATTGAATATCGTCTAAACATCTTTTCCCAAATTGAAATCGCACAATCGTTGTACGGTGTCGAGTCGACGCGAACGTGTAGAAACGCGAGTTAAAAATAATCGACGAGGAGATGGAACGAGAGACGGAGCATCGGTCGTATTAATTTAAGATACTTGGCGAAACCTTCCCCCCCCCCCCTCTAGCTTAAATAGGGATTAGCAATTTGTAAATTTCCTTAATCTCTCGACACGGTCGCCACGAACGAAGTAATCGTTTATTCTCCGTGGAGTTGCACGCGGTTCGAGGGAACTCGATTGTCAAGGAACACGATCGATCGATCGACCCACTCGAGCCTGGTTGGAAGAGAAGAGGAAGAAGAGGAGGAGGAGGAGGAGGAGGAGGAAGAAGAAGAAGAAAGAGAAGGAGAAGAAGAAGAAGAAGGAGAAGAAGAAAAAGAAAGAATAAGAAGAAGAAGAAGATGCAAGAAGAAACCGTGCGAACACGGTGGTTTCCCCTCCCCCTTCTGTCTTTGTAGATACACACGAGAATACACAACACGTTAGCAGAATTTCTTGTATAATCGGCCCTTACCACCTTATAAATATGAACATACTACCACAGCCCATGTATACATAGCTACCTTACGTAAAGACTATTAACACGGAATTATACATATATAAATATACGAGAGGAAGATGAAGCATTATTATTATTAATATTATTAATAATTATTATTAATATTATTTGCGCCTGTAAATACATTCACGCGAAAATATATTAACAGATTATTATTATGATATTACAACAAAAACTATCACCGAGTGAGTCTTCAATTATCGTTAATTATCCCCGAATAGATCTCAACTCAACAAACCCGTCCCACAATATCCACAAAATTCAGAGATTAACAGCGTTACGATATTCGTCAAATTTACTCCGTCAAAATTAACCGGGTTAACCGGTTAAAATCCGTTGCATACGATTTATCCACGACGATTATCGAAGCCCCGTTCGCCGTTTCACCGCGTCGATTGTATCGTTCGTCTATTAATATCGTTGCGGGCCAGGTGAATTCGCGGCCCACCCAACCTTCGATCACACGTCGCTTCTCCGTCACAGAGAGCGAGAAGCGCGTTTTTAGGTGTTGCGTTACCGCGCGGGGAAACAATTAAAAAATAACTTCTCGCCGAGGCGAGAAAGAGCCGAGGCAATTCAGGTGGCCGCGTCCTTCCTACAATTTAAACTGGCTGCTGGCAAGGGGCCTCCTCCTCTTCCTCCCCCTCCCCCTCCTCCTTCTTCCCCACGGAATACGCTGTATAACCAGCGAATTCGCACAGTCACCCGACTCTCTCTGTTAACGAACCCAAAAGAGACGAAGACGAAGCTGAAAGAAAAAAAAGAAAAAAAAGGAAGAGGAGGAGGAATACGAAGAAGAGGTCGCGGTTCGTTCGAAACACACGAATNTTTTCACTCGAAGGTCAATGGGTGCGCGTCGACGATTCGTGAAGGGACAAGGAGCGTGGCAAGGTGGAGAAGGCGAGGGAGACACGAGGGGTGAGAAAGATGAAGAGCGAGGGAAAGGGAGAGAGAGAGAGAGAGACTCGTCGCGGAGACAGTGGAAGGTTAAAAGCGTGTGCGAAAAGAGGGAGAGATAGAGGAGAGAGATCAAGCGTAGGAGAGGTTATCGACACGGGCACGGCGCGGAGGAGGAGAGCGAGTGAAATATGGAGATAGGATGGAGAGAAAGGGAGAAGGATATAGGAAGCGAGAGGTAGTTGCGCGATAACGTGGCGTGGGCGGGTGTCGCTGACAAAATGGACCAATCGGGTGGCCGGGTTGGCTTGTAACCGATCCCGCGGGTTAACCAGGAACCAGGAACATCGACCAAGAACTCTCCAAAAAGCCGATATGCCCAGAGCGCACGCCTAACCGTCCTCGTCGTCGACTCCACCCTGCCTGCTCCACATGCGACCACTTCCTCTTTTCCTCTCTCTATACATTTCCTCTCACCCTTCCACTCTCTGTGCCTGTCTACCGTCGCCTTCCCTTCGCCTATACCGATATCACGTATCACCCTTTCTCTCTCGCTCACCCCGTCTTCTTTCACCCGGTCTCTCTCGTACGGTAATGCGTATAACATCTCTCTCTCTCTCTCTTCTCCTCGGTTGGTTGGCGAAAGTTCTCGACAGCTGGGTGGATTCTTCGCTGGAAGATGGAGTCGTTAGAGGCTACTGGAGAGGAATGGAGAGAGGGAATGGATCCCTCGGCGGTCGTTTCCCCGGCTAGTTGTTAAATTACTTCGATAAAGTTGGCGTAATTGAAACTGGTCATTGTGCGAAATGTTGTTTAGAGGCGAGCTTCGAGAGAGCTAATCGCCGCGTAACGCCTGATCAACGGCCAATAATCGATACGAACTCGAAAGCTGCTTCTTGGCCGTCGAGATAACGATTGAACGGGAATCTCGTTGCATAATTGAATCAAAGTATTATATATATATATATATATATGGAATAACGGTGGAAGTAATTCGTTTTATCGTTTGTGGAAAGATCGGATTGATTCGATCCGAAGATGAAATTACCCGTATCATAGATGAATAAATATCACGTTGGTAAATATGAGCGAGTTGTTGGTCGGATGATAGAACGAGCCAAGCGTTAAACGAGTTATTAATTTCTGGTTTCTGCTCGTTCCTTTAAAAAAACATCCGTCCTGGCCTTCTTGATAACCATCGTCTGCAATTCAATGAGCGGAAGGCCGGATAACCGTTGTGCAACAAACACGGCCAACGTGAACAATGCCTCGTTTCAACGTCGCGTATCGTATCGTATCGTATCGTATCGTATCGTATCGTATCGTACACGCGCGGCAAGAATTTCGTAGTGGGGAAATGAAAGGATGAATATCGCGATTATCGATACGCATCGGTTCCGTGTACCGTTTTCAAGGCACATATACCCAATATGGCGTGAAAAAGGACCGTTCCGTCTACCCCAGTTTCGTGTCCTTGTCGCACACTGGATGCCACGGCCGTCTTGCCGCTCGTGTTTTGACAGTTGCTGCTCTAACACCTCTGCCACATTCATTAGAAAATGGTTCTCAGCCGAAGGTGAGAAATGGAACTGGATTTCAATACAACGGATATTCCATCGTAGTTGTTCGATGAAATATCTTCACAATATTAAAATTTATCGAATAAATTTACATTAGAAAAATTTTAATAAATTATTATCTCGATACTCCGTATTGCTCCGTATTTCGATTTTTCTACTCGAATCGTTAATCGTTCGAACAAAAATCGTTTGATTGATTTAAAGAAATTCTTGTAGTTTCGTGGAAAAATCCTGTTTCACAGTCTTGTTATCGAATGATCGAGCAACGAACGGTGTCGAGTAATAAATAAAGCGAAAAGCTAGGCGTTCCTATTAGAAATACGAGGCGCTCTGGTTGAGAGACTCTGATAGACATCCAGCTGTCCGGATTTAGATGTTAGGATAATACGGTGTGGTCGAGGCCTTACAACAAAATAATGTAGTCCACTCTGAATGGGGGGAGAATCCGGAATGAGCGCGGGCGAGAGGGAAAGCGGGGCTGTCGACAGAGGGAAAAGAGAGACGGAGTTGGAAGAGCGAGAGTGGAAGAAGGAGGGTGAGAGCGGATCGTAGAAGAGTATCGACAGTGAATAACCATTTCTCTAGTGGTTATTTGTAGACAGATTCGACACCGTGACAATGCCGCGAAAATCATAATGGGGGCCCACAAGGGACCCCCACTATGGGAGGCCTTAGCGAGATTACGATGCCCACCAGGTATTTGTTGTAGGTCTTAGACAGGCGCTGGGGTGCCATGGAGAGGTGTGAAAGTGATGGTAAATCTTCGTAGGATCTTTTTAAAATCGCTACTCGCCATTGTTGCGGTAAGAAGTTTTTCAGGCTTTACGGATCTTTCTCACTCCAT